AAGATTTCTAAAAAACAATCAAGAAAACCATGGCACCAAATAATAACCTGAAATAAGACTAGTAAGGGAATGGATAAAAAAACAATAATTGTAGTATTTCTAAAGAAACAACTTTGTCAGCAGAGCAACTGTGTCAGCAGGTGAAGAAACACGATGACCAATGGTACGTTCGTCGCTGTAGATTTCGTAATCATTTCCGCCCTGTGAAAAACATGCCATTATAACCAATAAAAAGTGCCCGGAATTTACCTTCTCAGTCTTGTCACCGAAGAAATATATTTCGCTATAACCGTCATTTATGAGGTACTGTAAGCAAAACCGTTTGTCCCAACCAACAGGAAACACGTCAATGCTAATCTGACCGCCTAAATACAGTATAGAAATGGTAACGAGACGATTATGAGGTGAAATGCAGCAATCAGCCAAACGGGTATGAAAAATCCAAAAGATCTTTTATCGAAATTGTCCTCGCTTTGGGTGACCATGAACCCACGTCGACGCCTGCCCCAATCAGCTACATTCTAGGGTACTTTGTTTGGCAAGCGTTTATCCTGCAGTCCAATCAGCATGTCAACCATTGTGAACTATTGTAAATGCCTTTCCAACCTTCATCCAGCATAATGAACTCAGAGGCATAGCTTCAAGGTTTTAGTCACAGAGGTAGGTCACTGGCAAGAGATTTACACATATCACCGTCTCATCCAACCAGAGCAGGCTCCTCGCCCTCACTTCAGCTACACAGAATAGACTATGAATAAAAAATGATGTTTACTGATGCGGAAACTATTTAGAGCGCTTGGCGCTGTATATTCTAATAATAATTGCTCCTTGAAATACGGAAACTATCTGAAAATAATTCGCCTCTTAGTGATTCCCAAAAATGAATTTACAAATATGGACGGAAACCATGTTGGTGGGTCGGAAACGAAACGGCCTCAACGTTAAATATCAGCACAACTTTTGGCACAACAATAAATATACCTATAGAAAACTGAAGACTGTACTCTTCCAAAGGAAACTTGTGTTTCATATCTTCTACAAACGTCGATCGTATACGATGTGCCTATAAAAGGAATTAAACTAGTGGGTAAATTCAGAGCATCAACTCATGAAGCATCTTTAACGGTAAGCAACGTACCACTCTAGGCAATAAAAATAATGCGAGATGCATTTCTGGATTCACAGGGAATTAGAGACACAGCGGGTGGCATAATGCCATGTAACCCAGTTCGACGAATCTTACCGCATGCTTAATACTGCATGGGACCATGGTTACAAAATTTCTTTGTCGGTTATAAAGATTTACTATTGTACTGTGATCGTTTTGGAGGTCTATCGGGGTCGAAGAAACATGAAAAATATTTCATAACATCGCTGCACAGTTGTCAAATTAAAGCAGCTTTGGAACAACCACAGAAAGAGGCCAGGCGAACACGGATTAGCCAACAGAATTTAGTCGATATACTATGAAAAATGGAGCTAAAAGTCCCCTCCATGTACAGTTTGTTGTTAATCGCTTATCAAAACAGTATGCAATGTTGTTCCCAGAGCACATCAGTTGTTGTACCCGGTTTCTGGGCTAGCTCAATTGTTCAACAAAATCAGACAAGAAAGCAGACAGCTAAATGATTACTTCAACGAAGGAAGGATATAGCCAACGTAGCACTGTGTCCACGCAAACAGTGAATGAAACTCTTCCCTAATAGCAAATTCAAAAGATCGTTTCAGGTTGGATGCTCGATTTTGCGGTATGTTCAAAGCTTAAAGAGAAGCAAAATCTTATACCACTTTTCTTGCACTGTTATGTAATCCACCAAAGTGCAGTTGCAATAAAACTCCGTTACAAATCCTAATATAGTAAGTAATAAACAAGCTAATATGGCACCACAACTAACAAAGTAGTTTAGTTTTACTCACCTCATCGTACGCGACGAACTCTTCGCGCTCCTTTTGCGAACAGCTTCTTCCAATTGGAGATATGTTTAACATGCCTTTTCGAAACTCTACGAAGTTTCCCCTTGAAAAAACGGACAAAGTTAAATCTAACAGTCGTTTAAGCTAGTATTGTAAACCTTTTACATGGCAGCTCAAGGTTTGACATGTAAGAAAGACAATAGTTGATAAACTTTTGCAGCTTCACCTCGCCTATCTCGTCTTGAATTGTCTAAAACGATGCTTTAGTTATCATCCAAAAATCAAGTTTCAAAATGAAAACGTACGCAATGACAAAACAAAAAAAGAACAGTATATGAAAAATGAGAATGAAGATTCGAAAGACAACTGTTAACAATTTGGAGGAAAATCGAGGTCGCCAAGGACTCTATATATTTTCAACCGTTTCTGTCCAGAATAGGACATTTTAATAATAAGCTTCAACAAAAGTTTTGGGCACTGTATGCATTAAATTCCGAGCAAAAGATGAGTTAATAAATAAATTTGGGGGCGTAGTGACAGAGTGGCAAAGAGGTCAGCATCCAACTCTGCGAATGAGAAGTTCGAATGCAATAACGATCTTTGTCTCACTCACGAGTTTTCTTCAACAAGGAACTCCGCCCGCGTTGCTTGGGTGCAGCCAGCTGACAAGTCGCTGATTTGCGAACAATAAGAACAACATAAGATTCAAACGCGGCCAGAGGAGAATCGACGATGTGTACGATCACGATATTCGTTGCGAGCGTCCCTTGTGGATGCACTTCCCCTTGATCCCCCCTCCTCGCCTGAGAGTTAAATCCATTGTAATAAACAGCACGAAATTTAAGCGTGAAAAAAAAGTAAAATTGTTTTGTTGCGCTGTTCGCCATGAATCGCGAAGAAGACGAACGAATGAAGTGGATAACAGTTGACTGACCATGAATAAATGACGAGAAAAGAGCATTTTCCAGTCACTTGAATGGTCTGGAAATTCCGGAGAAAAAATATGTCCAAACTGCTCATATGGACAGGCCCCAGAAGACGCGATTACATTTATCAGTATGATGACAACAAGATCTCCTTCTCATCTGACAAAGAAATAAAAATTTTATTGCAGGCTTTAACCCCGTTTCCTTTATATGATACTGCTTCCTACCGGCTGTCCATTCTTGCATGCCTTAAACTAATGTCATTATCCATTTGAACTGAGGATGCCATCTGTCTGTCATTTACAGTTGAGTTTGAATTGCTCTTGGTCAGACGTACCTCTCAGCAATTCCGACATGACAATCCACACCAAGACAAAGGTGCATCAGCTAGTAATGATATTAGTACTACTGAAACACAAAAGCCATTTAATCGTGTGGTGGCATTAGTTTTTTGCTTCTTAATTAATTGTCCTATGCCGAGAAACACAGTCATACATCAGTCATATTAATAAATCGATCAGCCATACCTTTACTGGCAGCATATCCTTTCCCCTATAAGAAACCAATCCATTCTCTGAGAAGATATAACTGAACTTCTCTACCGCTAAAATGGATGGATTTACGGAGTACATGGGAAAAATCTTATAACCATTATGAATATTACAGTCCAGCTGCTCCAAAATCTTCGGCATATCCGACCCGCCAACAACTGCTAGCGGAATTCCTCTACAACGCACTTGTTCCAAGCACTCGATCATTGGCGTCTCAATTTTCTAGTGTTCAAGGTCGATTTTCATTTTAAGAACTGAATAACCTTTTGCTCTTACTTGACGTGGCTTCGTTAGTGTGCCGTCTACGTCAAAGAGACAAATCCGCTTGGTGGTCATTTCAGCTAATAAACGTATATGCAAATTCAGTCTAAAGAATGAACAGCAAAAAGAAAAAACTGATAATAACGTCCAACGAGCACGGGACTACATGCTAAATTTTATTGCTACCATTAATGCGTGACGACGGTTCCACGACAGCAGGGCGTTCATATCACAGCTAATGACTAACCACACGAAGCAACATATGAATAAAATAGAAAAAATGGACAAAAAGAACAATGGTAAAATCGCCATGTCCGTCGGTTCACAGGGCAAGTATTGAGTGACTACTCCAAAGTTAGGGGAAGAAACGAATTAAAGAACGATCGTTAGCGTTCGATCAGTGCATCATCAACGATTCGAGATTCTGATGCAGGATGATCTCTTTGCAGTCCTGAAACACTCTGCGAATGTTGTCGGTATCGATCGCAGTTGTGAAATGATAGAAAAACGGTTGAGAGGTGTTCCTTCGGACGTTTTTGAACAGTTCGAGAATAAAAAACTGAACATCCTGCAATTTCCTCGGGTTGCCAGTGAACTTCGGAAAATATTTCCGTATGTCTGACGCTGTCGGTGCGCTCAGTTTGTCTAAAATGAAATGATTAGTGCTAAACCGACTGAATCATGAGTACTACACTACAAACAACGTGAGAATTTGTATTTACTCTGACAGCAATCCATGTACCAACAAGGTTGTTCAGATGTAATCTGGCTAATCCTTACTACATGATAACAGTAAAATTAGTAGTTACTGTCTTACAAATTATTCTGTTCTACAATTTAAGCAGTGTGCCTTGCCTTGCCTCTTGTCATCCATCTTAATTAATCCAAAACCATAATTCCTTTAATTGACTGTCAGAGAAAGTTTGACTATAATTTCAAAAGGGTCCAATATAGAAGCTTCTAAGCATGTGCAGAAACGAAATCATAAAAGAAAATAAATTTACATATGTGCGCACGTTCATATCTAACGAAGACTTTCTGCATCGTCATCAGTTACAGAGTGAGAAAATACAGTGAGAGAGGAGCAAAGGCCCAAACACACGTAACACTGTTGCAGACGAAAACAACAAAAACTTACTGGTTAGGAGATCAGTCTTGTTCAGAAACAAAATGAAGGAAACAGATGTAAAAAACTTATTATTCACAACTGTTTCGTACACTTCCCGTGATTCGAGAAGTCTGTTTGTTTTCTGTCTTCGATCTTCAAAGACGATCTAAACCAAAAACGTTAAATAAACGACATTAAAACTCTAATTTTAACAAAAATTACATTCAAATCTACTATAATCAAATTTCATAAGTTTGCTATATATGATTATTCAAGAAATCAAGAATTATTATGTCAGTCAAGAAATCTGTCGGTCTAGAAACCAAGAAATTAGCAATATCACCGGGATAATTTTTAACCTTGGTTGATTATTTTAATTGCTGTACGTGTAACTTTGACATACGGCTGAACGTCCAAGAACCAGCACGGTATCCACTTGTTCAGAAAGGTGCGAATTCAAGCACCACAATCGGTGTCGCCATGAACAATAGCCAGAGATGCTTTTAACCAGTTGCATTAATTACAGGCATAAATGGATTTATTTTTCAAACCGGCGTGATAGAATGATGCTTCTTACAGTAATGGATACATAATACCACAGTTATATCGGCCCACTTCCACGCTTGATCTGCAGTGCATCTCCTTCTTGATAGTTCCTTTGTGCAGAAAGATCAATATGCTATGGTAGTAAAACTGTCTTCCCTATCTGAGACGAACCAAATACTATATCCCAAATAATACCACGCTCATAATGGCAGAAAGAAAGTATTAGCAACGACAATGATCTATGTAAAGTTATCAAACTGATAGCAGAAAAAAAGAAAAATATGGACTGATTCTGTAAAATACCAAAAAACGTAGCACATAAATAACAAATATGAAATTGAGATCACTCGAGCACTATCACCTGGTCATATTCGTTGGAGGCAACGAGAAAGAGAATCGAGGTTATACCAGCGAAGCACTCGCACCACCGCTGCCTTTCTGATCTCTGACCGCCTACATCAACAAACCTGTAAAAGAACGCTGTATTTTGCCAACGAACAACGAGGGGCAACTAGAGCTCGATGAACAGAAAATAATACAAAGGATGACAAATAGGCATGCTTGTCGTCTGGTAGCAACCTTTAACATCCCCACCTCCTTTATCTATCGCAAGGATTCTATGTAGCGCAGGCAGATATTTGGTAGATTTTAAAAAGAAATTCAAATGCAATATTCTCTATATGATGCATCAAGAATAAGTCAGATCTTCACACAGAGGGTGGAAAATATGACAAAAACATTCATAATGCTTTCTTGAAGTCAATATAATTAATACAGAATGTGAATTTTAAATCACTTGGATTGGATTTATGATGAGTGTCCGTCTCTTAGATAGATTCCCTTCAAACCTCATAGTGGTCTGCCGAGCAAACTGACTAACATATGCTTCGTCAGTCGACTATCAGTACTTAATAGCAGGCAGGCCCTTACGACTACGAAAAGTACGTCACATTATTTCAGTCTCACAAACTGCTGATTTTGGCTGCTCCTCGCTAGATTTCTGAAAACACCGGGAAAGGTCAGAAACTGACAGGGTCTTGAACGCAAGAATGGTTCAGAAGTATTTGACCTGATTTACCCTAATCTCTAAACCATATCAGCAAACGAGAGATTTCACGAACCAGACTCATCGAGCTCGATACGCAAAAAAAACAATGAATCACCGGAAAGGAACGTTCTGAATGTTGAACGTGAGTTCATTGATGCCTCTAGTAGCCTTGCGACACATTATGATGTCGCGATTGGTAGGCATGTAATCCTGCAATAAAAAAATGGCCATTAAATTCTATTGCCTTTTGAAGCTCACTGCATGTCAGCATACTCTGTGCTTGACGCGGGCGATGTCATCGAAAAAGTATTTACAGGAATCTGCCTGAAAAACATAAAACTTCAAACAGACAAAGAACCGAAAACAAAAACAAATAAGGCACAAATAAAAACACAACGAGATGTCGTGCAACAAGTGTCACGGACAGATGAGATTCAGGCAAGCAGGCTGGCAGGAGTATCACAGAAAAAACACCAAAACTTACCGTTAGCCCGCCCGCTTACCCATTCATCAGCGGTTCGACCGCCAAAGCTTAGACAGAAACAATGGTCAGAAGTTATTGAAAGTGCAGGCAACAGAAAAGCAGCACTTACCAGCTGAAACTGATTCCGACGATCATATGTTCGCTTCAGGGCATTGTCGTTCCACAGCGTTTCGATGGCGGGGGCTATGGCCATGAAATGGTGTTCGTCTACCAAATTCGAACGGATAACGAAGCTGAACAAGAGAGGTAAAAGAATAAAAAATTAAAGCTGCATATAATGAAAGTGCACAAGTCAAGGAATGATAAAAAAATGACCAGAAAAGATCCATAAAAAATCGAACGGAGTCTACATTCTTATACAATGTTCATGTATTACGCATACCATTACAAAGGTTCAAAGTAAATTTTGCGAGAAAGAATTTAGAAGATGAAAAACACCTACAACATTGGCAGCTAGCAGTCTGTCAGTCCAAGCAGAGAGTTACCAAAAATACGCACACATGTCTGTTCATTGTCGGACTGAGTTCTACATACGCTGATCGGTTTCATTTATTATGCGATAGTTGATAAATCATGAGAAACAATGGCAAAACCTTATATTGAATTGAGGGCACATTGATTTAGTGGCTCATGAGGGTGTAAAACGATCCGTCCTTATAAAATATTTTTTTAATGAAAGACTTAGTTTCGTTTACAATTTCGTTTACGTACTTTTTGATCTGTTGGATACACGGCAATGATCGGTCGGGGAACTGCAGCGGCAAATCGGGGAAATCATCATGAGCGGCGATCAGCGTACGCATATCATTTACGATGTTGCCATATATAATCTTCTTGTACTCCTGCGATTTCTCATAGCTGAACTCACCCGGTCCATGGATAATCACCATTTGTTTGAGAAACGTTGATTTCCCGGATTCACCGCTACCCAGCAGCAAGACTTTAACCTAAAAGGAAGTACTGAATATTAAAATCGGTTAAGTCGTTTCTATGCTACAAAAAGACACAAATATAAAATTGCAAAGAGCATTAAAATAGTTACTCTATAAACTGTCTCAAACAGACAGATAGATGGCAGTGAGTGACTAAGACCGAGGACGAATCCGAGACCTCTTAATCTTTTTTCCGAAGCCCTACAGACTAAACCTTAGTCAAGATTAAGAAAGGAAGAACGATATGAATGCACAATGAAGCCAGAATCAAAATAAAAAAATAAACAAATTAAACTCACTCACTATTCCATCCCTGCTACTGTAAATAGGTTTAGATACACGAGAAAAAACTCACTGGTCAACTTAATCATAGAAACTGTTGTGTTAAGTAGACAAGGTGGCGGAACAGCTCATTCAGATAGCAATTTGAGAGGTGAAAGTCCAACTCGAAGTTCTGTTCAGGATCAAAGAAATGATTACTTAAATGCGATCGATCAAAGCCTACGTATGCGATCTTCGAAATGCAGAACGATTCGTCATCGCATCCTTCATACATGACTCAGCGGCGAGGGATCCTGTTCAATTTTCGAGTTGCTTAATTTGCGCAATGAATTACTCTATGGTGCAGCAGGAAGAAACAATGATTTCATGCGACCGAATGACCCTGGATAGAGGCTTTTCACACTCTCGGTGGTCCCTCCAGTACTTCAGTCGGTGGTACATGCTGCCTCCTGCAACTAAAAATTCTGCTCGACCACCGCAATGACCCTATTCCTGAGGGTTCACTTTCACCTCAAGTTTAGGATACACACGCACTTATCGTCAAAAGCTGACTAAACCACTAAAACACGTTAACACCTGTTAGATTGTAAGTACGTCACGCTCAAATAGCCGACAGAAATATGCCGCTTAGATAAGCAAGAAATGCAGCTGAGGCACAAAGCTGCTAACAAATGCGTAAGGCAGTTATAAAGTACACCTTTTTAAAATTTTTAAACCGCCTACACTCGCGCCAAAAACTTGATGAATGCAGCAACTATATCCGAAAAGGACTACAGAGAGCCAAAAATCAAAGGCGTAAGCGAACATTGACTTACTGGTTCCACATGTGTCACTTTGCCTTAGTCACAAAGTAAGCGGTCAAAAATCTACTTTGTCAAAAACTAGCAAAACAAAACAAGTAACAACAAGAAACAAACACATAATAGTTGAAATATGACCCATTGCTAGAAATGCGCTACTCACCTGACGCCTGAGACGTTTTTTTTCCTTACGCAACTCATTGTCGATTTTTCTACTGATCACTGTTGCTGAATCTTCAGAACTCCAACCGCACAATAGCGAGAAAAATGAACTCATTTACAGTCAATGCGAAACCGCTATGGGCATCAAATTACAGTAACGAATCCGAAGCAACGCCTGATGATAAAGTTATTTCTCTCTTAATCTACAGTTTCTCATTTTTTAAATTTTTTATACAGACTCAAAACATAAACAAGAAAGTATTCTGTTAGCATTCCACGTTGCACAAAAGATTGCGCAAACGAAAGTGCAAACTAACTGTACATGACAACATGAACTGCTTAGATTAGCTACAAAACTGTTTCTCCAATTGATGTAAATATTTTTGGAATTGCGTTTCGGATCACACGATGAATTCGTCATTTATCATATGAACTGAAGTCAACCTAAGTCTTAGAGTGTGCACAGACTTTTGTGTTCTGTATCTAATACTTTTGATATCACTTTACCAAAAAACATGATATTACTGTCATTTCTCCTCGCATCATCAAGTGCAGAGTCAGTTGGTAACCTCAGCAATATTTCTAGAAACTCTCTGCATCACGAATACTCACTGAATTCTAATGTTTGGTAAAAATTATGCCAGCCGTAAAAAGATATTTTTCAACAGACCAGGAAGGCTGTCGTCCGTTGGCAGTAGCATTTTCACTGTTACGAATGTTAGACACAATTATTCAACTGGAAGGAAAGGCTCCAGCTCTGATTGACTTTATAGTAGTACATGTTCTCGTCGGCTTTCGAAAAATCGACGTCAGCATCATTTTTAAATGTGCTATTTTTAATTTTCATTCGAATTTAGTTTGTGTACGAAATTATGTTCCGTACAAAGTCATTTTTTCACTAGAAAAATAACTATGTAATGTATTGCGGTTTGCCAATTCTGAATAAATGCAGAAAAATTTGAATATTTGCATCGTTTAGTGCAATCTCATTTATGTTTTATGAATGATGAAATTTGAACAGATTAAATGCGTTGCACCCCGTGAATAAGTCTCGTCTATTTTGGTATGCGATGAAATGTACGTGTTTGGAAACGTGATAGTCGAAGTAAAAATTAAGTTGCGGAAGACAGTAGAATCATTTTGAAATATTGTTGTATTATTGATAGCATGTCAATTTTTAACGTCCCACGTTTGAAACACCCATTTAAAAAAACGAAAGTCAACACTGATCAGATAATATGAAATTAATATTCATCATAGTTCGGAAACTACGCTCCATCGATTTACGTCTCTTAGACTGCCGGGTCCAACATAATAAAAATCCTGACTTCCTGTCGCACAATTTTTCTCATTGTTACATCGCATATAATTGAACCGCAATATGTACCAACCTAAAAAGCCAAAGAGTCACGCAATTAATTTGCGTAGTCAGTGCTTGACTCTGACACCCCAAATGATGATAACAAAAATAATATGTATCAAATTGCATAGGAAAGACCAAAAAGTTCTTTTTAAATAGTAGAAATTTTAGAAAGTCTTCTTGGATAACCCGTCAAGTACTCCAAATTGATAAGTAGTCAAAAGAAAAAGCTTTTTAGCTATTTTGGTTAGCAAAAATTGGTTATTTGCATATTTTTTTATTAGATGATTTAATTACATTGTTTAATTCTGATTCATGTAGTAAGGAACTGCCCTGAAAGATCGTTGTTTGATTTAGCTATTTATGAGCTTCCCTGTCATTTTTGCCGTGTTTATTCTAATCAATTAATGCACTATCGTATTCTACATTTATAGTATTTATTTATTTATCTCTTCTTGACTGTGCTGAAAATTGAGGTCTGTCGAAGCAGTAAAAATTTTTCACAATTTTCAAACTTTCAGCTCAGTCAGTCGTAGACGATGTTTCGGTAAAAAGAGGGTATGGAAATAAAATTACTTGCAGGTCCTCTTCTGTACTGTATGCTTGTTGATTAGTGTGTAATGGCGCCGAATAGCGAGTTCTATCTCCGCTATTATGTTGGACACAAGGGGAAATTTGGACATGAATTCTTGGAATTTGAATTTCGACCTGATGGTATGATCTAATGTTTAGTCTTATTTTGAATGTTGCAAAAAAATTTTTATGATGAAGAAATTCGTCATGTATTCATTATTTTCGCATCATCTTTGCATTTAATCTTCACTGTTGTTCTCCATGTTTCTTCTAGATTTTTCTTTCGTTCAAAGTTTTTTATTCATTTATTTTATGATGTTGCCATGCGTATGCTTGAACTCTGATGATTCCTGAGGGCTTGAAGCAAACTGCGACCCAACCATGTCGAGTGGTTTTTTCATAGGGTATTCTTGAAATGCATTTTTACACTAGCCAAACTGTGAGCAATTTAGCGTGCGCTAATGCTGAAACTACGATAACATTGAATGAATAGTTTTTAGCTAGGGTTGTATCACAGGTTTTTGCAAGCTGTGCAATATGTATTCTGTTTGCTATATATAGGGCATGTGTAATGAAAGGAAGGAAAAGGGAAATGTTTAATCGTTGAGTTGCCGATCTTCCTTACACATCATGATGGGACTATTTCTGGTATC